ATATGGTCATATTAATATAATATTATAATGGTATATATTATTATAATCATCTCAATATCATCATAATATAATAAAATAAAATAAAATATAATATAATATAATATAATATAATATAATATAATATAATATAATATAATATAATATAATATAATATAACATAGCATAACATAAGATGATAAAATATAGCATAATTATAATACAATATAATATAATATAATATAATATAATATAATATAATATAATATAATATAATATAATATAATATAATATAATATAATATAATATAACATAATATAATATAATATAATATTATATAATATAATATTATATAATATAATATAAATGACTTTTTAAAGCATCTTTCCCACAGTTAAGAATTGTTTTAATATAGGTGGTGAGCAAGGTCATAGGCACGTATTGTACAGTATGTTTAATGTGTATAGGATAGTCTTAAATGTTCATGAGGTAATCCTGAGAGGCCATTCAGTGTGTGAACTGGTGCTGTTGGTGTTTTGGCTCTGAGCTCATAGTGCCCCTCTGTGCTGGTAGATAAACATGTAGGGCCCCTTTGTAGGCAAACTTCAGTGGGAAACTTGGGGGGAAAAAATCAAGATCAGATTTGGAAAATGGGAAATGAGGTGTAAGGAGTGGTTGGGGAGAGCTAAATGTGTGTGCTTGCACAGGTCACTGACTTCACGGCTCAGTGTCTGATCTCTCGCTTATATTCATGAATGAAAATAGCCCTGGATTGAGAGCCTGTCAGTACTTTTACGAAAATATTATTGGTTAAATAGATTTTCGGAAATTATGTGTATGCTGTAGAGCTGGGTTTCCTTTTTATGGTCCTACTTCGCATCCCAAAACTGTCATAACTAATAAATAGTTATCATAACGGCAACCCTTATGTTCACCAAGGTTGGATTTATTTGATCAGAAAAAAATGTAAAAACAATAATCATTTTGAATATTTTTACAATTTAAAATAGCTATTTTCTGAAATTGTTAAGTTTTAGCTAAGTTCCTAGTTGCATTTAAACCAAGCATTGTATTTACATTACAATTGATGTGAAAGAAATACACATCTAAAGATATGAATCAGATTAATAGGGATGTGATAAACAATGTTTTCGGTATAGGAATTTGCATTTTTACTACTTGATTTATATTAACTTCATTGCAAAAATTTGTGTGCTCGCTGTCTCCTATAGCCAGGACACAAGAAGATGAATATGAAGTTTAATTTTTGAAAACAAATAAAATAAGGATGGAAGAACACAAACACAGTAGGTAAACTCTGTACTTTGTGCAGCGTGTGCATGTCAAAAAATTTAAACATGATTTTGAAGCTGTTAATTAGCAGACCTTTTTGTCCAAAGTGACTTACAATTGAGTCATTCGGTAATTCAACAAGACAGCAATAAACACAAGAAGTGCTAATTATACAAAGTTTGAGATACAAACTGTTAATGCTCAGAGAATTAAGTGCTAGTGTAAGGAGGGGCAAGTGCTTTTTTTTTTAGAGAAAAAAGGAGTGCTTCTACAGGTGGTTTGTCAAGCCCACTCACCTATGTAAAGCACACTTCATAAATGCACAATTTATTATTTTTTGGATTGTAAGAAAGTGTGCAAATGTGTAAAACTGGTGCAAATTGTACTGGTGCAAGTGTCCGCGAGATGAAACAGTGATTCCTACAGGTGGTTTGTAAAGCCCACTAACCTGTGTGAGGCACACTCAGAACTGCACATGTTATGAGGTTGTCATGCAGTAGGGAGAGAAGATGGGGTTCAAAAGGGTTGTGGTGTAAATATAGTTGTAAACTTAATCTGTAATTTTAAGCTTGTCCACCTTTAAAAACATACAGAAGTAATCTAAAGCACATTTGGCCAGACATGTTAGTATTGTTTATGGCTGTTAAAGCAGAAACGAGAGACTGTACTTTTTGTAGCTGCATTATTTTCCATTGTCTGTATTTTGTACAGATCAATCAAAAGATCAGAAACATTTTATACACATTTGTTTCACAGACAGAAGAGGGGGATTAAAACACCAGGTGTAAACAGGAATGCATCTACCAAATCTGCTTGTGATGCGATCGAGCAAAATGCATCTTTATAGCAGATGTAACCAGGGCCCAATAGAGCACAATCAGACAGTTGTTTGTAAAATAATCATAACGTTTAATACATTATCTGGTTTTCTTGGCTCTATGAGGTTTTCTCGTGTTGAAAACATCTCTAAATTAACGTTTATGACTGAGACATTTAATAAAGTCTTAATAAATAAATAAATAAAATATTTTTAAAAATTTAATAATGTCTATGAATATATAATAAAATCTTATTTTTCTCTCTTTAAATCACATGCCATATGACCTTTACATATTGATATTTGGCAGTAAATCTGGCCTTATAGTTAACAGAAATTCTGCATCAAACCCAACTTTAAGCTGTGCTGCATATGGGAAAGAAAGTTTTGAATCTTGTGTTTTGTCTCAGGCCCCTCTTGATGTGCATGTCTTTTTTTCTGTCTTATCTTATCATTCATGTTCATCCACTGGTATTTTATGCAATGAAAATGATTTAGCGTTTTGAACTTTCTGAATGGGTTTCATTAGTTCCTCCTCTTTTCGGCTTCCTTTTTATCTCCTCTGCATGTGTCTGTACCTTAAGGTCACGTGCATTTCTTTTTTGCTCCTTCACCCTTTTCCGTGTTTTGAGCTGTTTTTTTATCTTATGAATGTTTTTATCTTATATATCTATACACATATTGTTGAGATACATTTATAAGTTAAGAGTTAACATATTTTATTATTAAATCATGTTAGTTTTAATAACTAATTTCTAATCACAAATTTATTTTGTCTTTGCCATGATGACAGTACATAACATTTTACTAGTTACAGTATATTGCAAAATACTAATATTCAGCTTAAGTGCGGGTTAATTAGGTTAACATGGCAAGTTATTAATCCTTGTTCATGGTATATTACTAATTTACTCAGTAGTTAATCTAAAACAAATTTCTTTTTTTTTATGGGGGTTAACCTTAGAAAAATACTAACCTTAGAAAAATATATTGGAAATGCATATATATAAATATATATATATATACGTGCAATTTATTAGGTACAACTTACTAGTACCGGATTTATCCCCCTTTTGCCTTCAGAACTGCCTTAATCCTTTGTGGCATATATTCAACAAGGTACTGGAAAAGTTCCTTAGAGATTTTGGTCCATATTGACATGATAGCATCACACAGTTGTCTGCACATCCATGATGTGAATCTCCCGTTCCACCACATCCCAAAGGTGCTCTATTGGGTTGAGATCTGGTGACTGTGGAGGCCAGTTGAGTGCATTGAACTCATTGTCATGTTCAAGAAACCAGTCTGAGATGATTCTGCTGGAAGTAGCCATCAGAAGATAGAGACACTGTGCTTTCATGTTGTTGATGGGATATTATGACCATCCGAATGTTGCAGCAGAAATTAAGACTCATCAGACCAGGCAACGTTTTTCCAATCTTCTATTGTCCAGTGTTGGTGAGCCTGTGTAAATTGTAGCCTCAGATTCCAGTTTGTAACTGACAGAAATGGCACTTGGTGTGGTCTTCTGCTGTTGTAGCCCATCCACCTCAAGGTTTGATGTGTTGTGTGTTCAAAGATGCTCTTCTGCATACCTCTGTTGTAACGAGTGGCTATTTGAGTTACTGTTGCCTTTCTATGTCTGTCTGGCCATTCTTCTCTCTGTTAACCCTAGAGATGGTTGTGCTTGAAAATCCCAGTAGATCAGCAGTTTCTGAAATACTTAGATCAGCTCATTTGCCATCAACAACCATGTCACGTTCAAAGTGACTTAAATCACCTTTCTTCTTCATTCTGATGCTTAATTTGAGCTGCAGCAGATCGTCTTGACCATGTCTACGTGCCTAAATGCATTTAGTTCCTGCCATGTGATTGGCTGATTAGAAATTGACGTTAATGAGCAGTTGAACAGGTGTACCTAATAAAGTGGCCGGTGAGTGTATATCTTTGTGTGAATAAGGAGGTAGCATATCTTTTCACTCTGTTGCACTCTATTTTTTAAGAATGTAAAAACATAAATTTCCTTGGGAAAAAACAAATAAAATAAATTCTAAAAGCAAAAACTCTAAATAAACAAAAGACGCTTAAAAATACATTAATTTGCCTTTCAACAATAGTCCAATTCTAGATAATCTACGGGGCCCTTAGGATTTGTTATTCCAGCACTTCTCATCATAAAACTGGTCTAAGTAATTAGCCATGTGCAACTACGTCAGTTGAGATATCTTTATTATTTTAGCAAGAGGAGAAGATGCTGTGTGCTCCAAGAACCATATATTGCGATATGTCTCATGAAGGAGCACTTTGTCTCTTTAAGTCTTGAAGCTAAAATGAGTTATTTCTCTCTCCCCTCTGGTACTCCTCTCTCTCCCCCTGTCTCATCATTAACAGTTCTGCTCTCATAACTCATCACAATGATAAATGCCTGAACTTCACCTCGGCCCGGCTTCTTCTGTCAGCCTTTTGTTTCTGGACTCTCCATTGTCTTTCTAATTCTCAGCCTTTCTCAGGTTCATGCAGGTGAATTGAGCACCTGTAGAAAGATATTCATATCAAAGCCCTCCAAGCGTTATCGGGATCTCCGGTTACTGCGATAGAGTTCAATAGAGCGTAATTGTACTCCTTTCCAAAGAAATAATGAAGAACAAGATCAAGATGATGAAAGAAAATGTCTTATATGGAGCTCTTAACAATTTAAAGTGCCTTCTGGATCTTTTACAGTCCACGTTCAGCTGTGATCGGAAATCCACAATCGATCAAACTAGGCAGCTTTGTCTAATTATATTATTTGCTGTATTTATTAGTTCTAGGTCATGATGAAAGCGCTGGCAATGGCCCTGACCACCATGTGATGATGTGCTCTGGATTTGCGGTGAAAGCTATTTTTTTTCTCCACTTGTTTTTTTTTTCAAAGATGCATCTGTGACTGAGAAGGAGGATGTTTTCGGATTAGACGGGCAGATTGAACACAAGCTGGCCTTCCTACGAAAGCATGTGCCTCAGGGCACCAACTTGCTTCTGATTGGCCACTCTATTGGCTGCTATATCATCCTAGAGATGATGAAGAGAGACCCAGAACTAAAGGTATGAGCGACTGGGTGAGAAAGTAACATTAAGTTAAAGCTATTCTGCACATCATCTAGCAATTTACATTATGCTCTCTCTCTCTCTCTGACTCTCAGTCTCTCTCTCTCTCTCTCTTTCTCTCTCTTTCTCAATTCAATTCAATAACTGCTTTATTGGCATGACAAACGTTACAAATGTATTGCCAATGCAGTTATAAAGTTTACATAAAAATAAAAGAACATACATTTATAATAAAAAAAAACACTGTAAACAGTAGTAGTAGTAAAAAAAGATATATACATATAATAATCAAATAAAAATATAAATAATATATCATATCTCTCTCTCTCTCTCTCTCTTTAAAAGTATATTGCAAGATACTTGTATTCAGTAGAGTTGGTTTTAAAGAGCAGTTTAAAAGATTAACTAGGTTAATTTGGTTCACTGGGCAAGTTAGGTTTATTAGGCAACTCATTGGACTACCCCGATTTGTTCTGTAGTCAGTCAAGTTACTCAAGGGGGCTAATAATATTGACCCTAATATCTGTTTTCAGTCATTCATTTTCTTTTCGGCTTAGTCCCTTTATTGATTTTGAGTCGGCACAGCGGAATGAACCGCCAACTTATTCAGCATATTGTTTTATGCAGCGGATGCCCTTCCAGCTGCAACCCTTCTCTGGGAAACATCCATACGCACTCATTCACACACATACTGTACGGACAATTTAGCTTAGCCAGTTCACCTGTACCGCATGTCTTTGGACTTGTGGGCGAAACCGGAGCACCCGGAGGAAACCCATGCAAATGCGGGGGGAACATGCAAACTCCACACAGAAATGCCAACTGACCCAGCCGAAGCTTAAACCAGCGACCTTCTTGCTGTGAGGTGACAGAACTACATACTGCGCCACTGTGTCGCCTTGTATTTGTTTTAATAAATGTAAAAGCTGCATTGAATCCAGCCAAATTAAAAGAAATAGGAATTTCTCCAGAAGGAAAACATATTATTGGATTTATTCTGACAATTTCCTTGCTCTTTTTCCCTTGAGTATTTAAAAAAAAAAAAACATTTCACAGGAGGGCTAATAACATTGCATTTTAACAAATAAAGGCTTTTATCTGAATCCTACTGTAAAACCCAACAGTCAACTTCATCAAAATTTACTGGAAGTTAATTCTACTCTTTTGAAAAGAACCTCATTACTTCAGCTGAAATGGAGTAAGTTCACAGTACTCATATAAATTAGTTTTTACCTCAAATGGTTTGTAGCAATCAGTTTCCTCAAACAGTTTGATTTGCCTTAACTTATTGGGTATTACATTACTCAGTTGGTTTGAGTTACCTTAAATTTCTGGGTTTTACAGTGTACATTCACAATCGGACATTAAAATGCACAATATTACATTATTACATTACATTATGTCATGTTATTTCTTCTGTAGAAATTCCTCATCTGTTAAATGTATTTATTATTTTCAAAATTAATCAGGTACCTATGAATATACTTCAGTGATATTTTCATAATTTCTAGGGCCAATAATTTTGGTCAGCATCAATTTGAGAAAAACATTTATTATACCATGGACTTTTACCCCATTTTCTTTTTCTAATGAAATCTTGGGGGAAAGCTTTTAGTATTAAAACCTCAATTGCTCATATTTTATGGAGGCTACCTGTATTTGTAACAGCACTGTATATTTCTGCTCTAGACAACAAGCAATATAATCTTCCAAAGGGGTAAGCAAAATAAACATATTTCAAATCAAAAACAAGATTATTTTGATTTCCTTGTTGGCAGATTATTCTGCTTGTTTTAAGAAAAAACCTCACTTAATTAATAACATTATAATATGACATTCATGACATATTGTTTCTGAAAATAAGTCAAAGTTTTTGGCTTGTCTAGAAAATGCATAAGAAAAGCATTTTTTAAATTATTATTATTTCTTTTGCTGCAGTGTACCTAGTTGGACTCTTTTCTTTTGTTTTAAATAACAAGTCCCCAATGACCAGTGACCCACAACATCTTCCCTGTTCCATATCTAAAGAGTTTCAGAGTTTCCCTCTCTAGAGATCTGAGGTCTGTCTGATTCCCCACATAAAGCTGTATAAATAACAGCTACAGCTCAGTACAGACCACCTCAGAGATTTGCAACTTGGCATTGTCACCTCAGCGAGACAACGCCAATCAGCAGCATAATGAGATACTTCTGTTCCCTGTACTTGCTGTGTAAAAGGTCAGAAGATTAAATAACATGGAAAAGAACCTTGATTTTTTTCTGTCTCTGGGGTTTTCCTGCTCTGAGATGTCCTCTTTATCATTTTTACTTTCAAGCATTTTTTTCTACCCCAAAATCATTTTTTTCTCTCTTAACCACTTATTTAGTATTTCCCTTTGGTTGAGGGGCGTATTTTCCTCCTGGCAAAGAGAAATGTATTTTAGCTTCAATAATGGGGCCAGTGCAGTCTTTTAAATTTTGATGAAAATATGTTCTGATACTTTTGGAGACACTCCACTTCGCAACCACTTTTAGTAATTTAGTTCTGAAATGTGAATCAATAAACTTGTTTTTAAAAATCTGAAAGGTTTTTTTTTTCTCATTAACTCTTTCCCTGCCTTTGAAGAGATACACAGCAATCTGTGTTTTATTTATATTCAATTAATCTTTATTTATATAGAGCTTTTATACAGTGTACATTGTGTCAAAGCAGCTTAACATTGAAGTTTTAAATTGGAACAGTGTCAGTCCAGTTTTCAGATTTCAGTTAGTTCAGTTCAGTGTGGGTTAAATTTCACTGCTGAAAGTCCAAACACTGAAGAGCAAATCAATCGATGTGAAGCTCCACAAGTCCCTAATCAAGCAAGCCCGTGGCCACACCAGGGCTTCCGTGGAGTCTTAAAAATTATTAAAATGTCTCAAATCCTAAAACCAAGATCTTAGGCCTTAAAGAAAAATTTAATTTACTGCGATATTGTGTTGTAGGTCTTAAATCTTTTTAAAACAAGCCTTAATTTTCCTTTGCTCATTTATTGCTACCTAGTCTGGCCAAACAATCACCAAAAATCCATCTTAATAAAACTTTAAACTTTTTGTTTAAATGGGTAATTTTTAACTCTGTTTATCATAATGGTTTAATTATATTCTTTACAATAACATTTGTTTAAAAGTGGTCCATGTATTTACTGCTGAGGACACTGACCTGGACAGATAGTTGTGCGTAAAATACAAAGAATCAGTGTAAATGTAAATCAGATCACACATAAAAATGAGTTATACAACTTTCCTTCAGCGTACTCCCATCTTTTTATATATATTTTGTATTTTATTTGTATTATTTTTTGGGAAAAAAAAACTTTTTTTTTTTGTCAAAATTGTTGTGTTTTTGATTAAACTGATCTGCATTCAAGTGGTGATTAAACACAAACAAGTGACGATATAATGAAATGCTGTTCTTACACCCCTTGCAAATTTATGTTATACATTAATATTTTTTATAGGAAGCTATACAATATTATATTTGTGCATATACAATAGATTAGTCAGTACAGAAGCCAAACCTGCAGCTTATCTAACAAAAAAAATGAAAGATAACGGCCCCAAAACTAATACATTGAAATTTATATGTTATGGAAACATATTAATACAAATTTAAAAAAAGAGAAAAATGTAAAAAATCAAAAAATTAAAAAATTTATTTGAAATTTTATAGGTTGTAATTTACTTTTGCAATATTTAGCTTGAATTTAATTGCATTATCTTTAAATTTCTAAATATGTTTGGTGACAAAATATTATTTTAATAAATATATCTGTTTAAGAAATCTGTTTTGTTTAAATGCACCAAAATACATTGCCTATATTTACTGAGAAATGGAGAAACATATTAATTTTTATAATGGGGTGTACTCAATTTTGCTGAGCAGTGTATATATTATGGTCATATAGTTATAGGGCCCTATCATACACCCAGCGCAATGTGGTGCAAGTCGTGGTGCAATACTTGTTTGCTAGTTTTAGCTTGGCGCAAGAGCCGTTTTGAGGCGTTGCGCTACGCTCTTTAAACAGCAAATGCATTTGCGCTCATATGTGCGCCCATAGGCGTTCTGGTCTAAAAAGGAAGGCGTTCTGAGGCGCACTGCTGGCGTGTTGCTATTTTGAGAAACTTTAATAGATTTTTCATTAGACCAAAACAAACCCGGTCTAAACTCCAGCGCTGAGTTGCGCCTCGCTTACACACTGCTTAATAGCGTACACACAAGATGTAGAGCAATACGCAAATATCTTTACATATGAAAAAATACAAATATTAAGGATATATATAGGATATAATAAGAATATATATATAGGATATAAATATCAAGGATTAAAGGATTACAAAACATATTATTTTCTAGCCTACATGAATATGAAAAACCACTGCATTGAATCCTTCTGCATCTCGGGAGGCTTTTTCAGTTCATTCATAACAATTTGCTTTTGTATAATGTTATTATTATTAGCAGTATTATTTATTATATCCATATTTATATATATATATATATATATATATATATATATATATATATATATATATTTTTTTTTTTATTATTAAAAACAAGCTTAGATTTGCCCACCTGTCAGGTTTTAGACCATATGGGGCACAGCATGTGTTTTAGTATATAACTCAGGTTTTTGAGCACACTTCGTTGTTATTGTTCATTTATTCGTTTGCTGGAAATTAGAACTGAATTTAGAAATAGTTTTGAAACTAATATTTGCGGTTAACAAGTGAAATTAATTATTTATAGGCTAATTGATGTCTGTGCGTAAAGGTTTCCCTATCCACGAGAGCGAAAGTGAAAGTAGATCGATTATCTCCTTGTCTTGTCTCCTTGACCTTTTGTCTCTTTAAAAATTCAGCAAAATTTTTTTCAAATGATGGCCTGCTAAATCCCTGTATGATATAGTCAGATATGGCATGGCTCAGAGCAAACATGCACGAAGGAGGGAAAGATTTCCTCTCTTGCTCTAGATTGC